TTTTTTTTTTTTTTTTTTTTTTTTCCGGTTTTCTATGCTTTCCCATTGGACCTTGAATTCAGGCTCATTTCTTTTTTTGCGAGTTGGCTTTCAAGGGGTGGGGAGGGGGGTATAAATTGGTTTTGAAGGGGCTGAAGCCTGAAGGGGTTTAAAGGGGGATGCCTTAGTGTGATTATGTTATTTTCTTTTTTATCTCTGATTCCGTGAGGAATTCTAATGTGACCCTCAGCCAAAAGTCGTTTGTATTGCAATTCTACACAACATTTTGTTTTTCCGGATTTTTTTGAATTATTTTTTTATTTTATTTTTTTGCGCTGGGGCTGCCCGGAACCTTGCCCGGGGGTCATGGCTGGCTGGGCACCCAGGTGAGTACCTGGGCATAAGTTGGGTGCCCGGGCGCCCGGAAAAACAGCCTAGGATTTTTTTGAATTATTATTCTTATAATCTTATTATTGTTACGATCCTGGGGCCTGGACCCACTAGCGAAGTATTCTACGACGTGTGACACAGTTTTATGTTTTTTTGAAAAATACAAAGTGATTTTTTATTCGCATGAATGGATCGTTTTCTGATGTAAAATGAATTGAAATAGCACATAAAACTATGAAGAACAGCTGTGCACCTGAATTTATGGGTTGGTACGATCTCCTTCACGTAAGTCTTCATAGTGATGTACCTTGGCCATAAAATGTGTCCACAAACACATTAATTAGGATGAACAAGTAACGGGTTTTGGGATACATTCCTCGCGATGTATCTCATGATGCCTTTAGCAGGCCATCCGATAGACGCGGAAGCGTTCCTGTCAGATGCACCTCAATATTCGAATTTCACATTTCAAGTTCTATTTCTCAGAGCCAAAAAAAAAAAAACGAAGTCTGGAAATCAACCCCCCCGCTTTAAAGCCCATAAAATCCCGACTTCCCGCCCACGCAAAGCCACGAGCTATCATGTCCAAGTTAGTCCAACTTCGTTTTTTTTTTCTTTTCGACGCATCTCATTGGACGGGAGCTGGGCATCTTTACAGTCCCCGCTCAGAAACTACCAGGCCGTCGAGATCCGATCTATTCGACGGCCGTACTGAGTCACTCGATGCCACGCGTGATCGAAATCCTGAACGGCGTGGTAGAATACCGTGCTAGTGGGTCCAGGCCCCTGGTCATTCCCAGAGTGCAAATTCACAATGAAAGACAATGCCACCCAATTGCAAAAGAAATGAAAGCACTTGCAAAGAGATAGAGACCAGAGGAGAGAGAAAGAAGAAGAAGAAGAAGATGTACACCAGCAAGACCAATGACAATTCCCCCTTCTCTCTCCACCTTCCTCCTTCTCCTTCACTTCGCCAATCTTATTTTTCTCCCAATAATAATAATAACAATGAGTGGATGAACCAGAATCAATGTCCGAAGTTCCCTCTTACTGCTGATTCAGCAACAACAACAACAACAAGTCCACCATAGCTATGGATTCCCTCCTTTTCTCTCCTCTCACATGCCTAGGCTATGGCGGAGTACTGAGGGCCCTGCTCTCCTGTCCAAAGGACAACCCAAAGCAGCTATGGCGCTGCACTCCTGTCCAAAGGACAACCCAAAGCAGCTATGCCGCTGCTGACTGATCCGCCATGCCAGACTCTGCCTCGAGCTTCCTTGGTGCCGCACTACCCCAACTGGGGCCTTCCAGATGCAGCGCCCAACAAGGTGATGAAGATGGTGTCTACCATAGCCAGGTAGGCGCCCCGCCACTCTCCTCCTTCGCCCCCTTCTTCCTCCTTCTCAGGCTGGGCTGCTCGCCATAGCCAGGCTGAGCGCGCAGGCTGCCCTTCACCTCCAGGTAGCGCTGTATCAGCCCAGCGCTCCGCTCAGCAGCATGTCGCCAATCCTTGCATACCGCAAATGAGGAGCTACTTGCTCCTCCRRAAGATATMGCGGCCTACTGGCCTCTTGGGCGGTGACTTCCTAGSCCRAGCGGCCYCCCAGCAACCGGTAYCTCCTCCCTTTCGGAGGGAAACATCATTGCAGGCTCTGCTATCCYCYGGACAKGCCCTAGACCCGGGCTACTTGGACTGGTACCGGCCTACCTCTAGCCTACCGCTACTGGGCCTCTAAAAATGCCAAYKTTTTGTCTTCTTCTGCTYGGYCTCCAGYACCCGACGCTTCTACCACTATTTGAGTGGTACCGGCCTACCTGCTACTTGAGTGTTTTTCCCCTCTGCTCTAAGTGTCGCGGGCCTACCCCCGCTACTCGAGTGTTTTCCCCCCTGCAACCCTCAAAGTCACGGCCACAGATAAGTACTGGCCCTGCGGGGCCTTTCAAACAACAAGTACCCTTGCGGGTCACACACACACTTAGCCGACAAGCACTCAGTCAGGCATGCAAACCAGCAGGTACGCACACACACACAGACATGGAAATCACAACAGAATGCGGGAATCTCAGCAAGGCATTCATTCCAGTGGCAAATCCCAGAAATCAGCAGTGTTCTCAGTCTGTGTTTTTGGTAGGTCATTACACTACCCCCCTCTCAAGAGCGAGGTCCCTTCGAGCGAGTAACTCATTTAGAGTCGGCACAAAATGCATCGTAGGCGTAGATTAGAAAGAGGGATTTAGTAAGACTGTGAGGAGTGAGTTTTGCAGAAAACTTAGCAGTCTGTCCGACAGTGATCTGTCGTTCATAGGCGTTAACCACTCGTGGAGCATTCTTAAGCAACTCTTTCCGGTCGATCCAGAAAAACTCGTTCAATGGGTGATAGAGGAAGTGAACCTTGTACTGTTTGTTCCTCCCTCTTCCTTCATGGGCAACGATTCTGTTTATCTCATGGCCGCCGTCGATAGGACGAGGTATCATAGGATCTCGGAAGGTAAAAGTCTCATCATCGATGTGTGGAAACAGTTTGGATGCGTGAAAGACCGGTTATGTGCGCAGATGAGGAGGCACGTCAATCACATACGAAGGACCAAATTCATCCCCAATCACCTTAAGAACCTGCCAAGGGCCATAGTACAATGGAAAAAGCTTTCGTGATACACCCTCTTCATCAGAAAACTCAGACATTTTGACCCAGACATAACTCCTACTTCGAAGTTCGCTTCTTTGCATGACTTGTTAGCATGTTTGATCATGGCATGCCGACGCTTGTTCATTGCTACGATATCAGCTTTCAGCAAGCGTGCGTACTTGGCATTGTAGCCAGGGCATGCTGGTCATCAAACCAGGGGACCGTTCGGGGAACAAATAGGAGAGAGGATTGCGCAGCTGCCAACCATATTGCAGCTGATTCGGTGTTACACCAATTGTAGAGTGAATGGAGTTGTTGTACAACCCTTTCACTTTGTGTAACTCCTTGTCCCACGTGTTCTGATCTGGAACAATTAACGCACGAAGCAGTTGAATGACAGTCTGGTTGATTTCCTCGGCCAATCCATTGGCTTCGGGGTGTCGACCAGAAGTCTTGTTGAGTTTAATGTCATAGATCTGTGAGGTGAGAAGTCCTTCCAATCAGCACTAATGAACCTGGTGTCCCGATCACTCACAAGAGTTTTCGGGGGTCCATACTTCAGAATGTACTGCTGGTGAAATTCTTCGATTACAAACCCAGTTGGTGCATGAGGAGGTAGAGGAATCAAGTTCAGAAATTTGGAAAAGCGATCCACAATGACCATGACTTGTGAATGTCCTCCCTCACTCACCTTCCCCATGTCCGTGAAATCGATAGAGACCGACTCACCGGGCCCATCAGGAATTGGGAGGGGTTTCAACAGGCCATAAGGCTTATGCCTATGGACCTTGGTTCTTTGACAGACTTGACATTCAACAATAAATTTTTGAGCAGATCCCTTCATTCCTGGCCAATCAAACTGCTGCAAAAGACTTCCATAAGTCTTCTCAAAGCCGAAGTGTCCACTCCGACCATGTGCGAAATCCAAGAAATAAGTCCGAAGATGCGCATGGTTGGGTACACACAAACGATCAAACTTCCCATACCGGCGGAATACAAGACCCTCACACTCGTGAAAATCAGGCTGACTACTAGGGTCAGCCTTGAGCTGCTCAAGGATGGGACTGAGGTCCGGATCCTTGGCAGTGTGTTCGACCAGATCCTCCTTCAGTTTCCTTCGGAGGTCATAAGAGTCCACAAGGCAAGTCAAAAACTCAGGATGACGCGACAAAGCATCAGCAACACAATTATAACAGCCTTTCTTATGCTTCAGTTCAAAGTTGTAAACATCAATGTCATGCAGCCAGCGGGTCAGCGTCGGAGAAAGATCAGTTTGTGTTTTAATCCACTGCAAGGTCTGATGATCTGAGTAGACCTTGAAGTGACGACCCAAGAGGTGGTGCTTGCAATGTGCGAGCGCCTCGCGCAAGGCGTAGAGCTCATGCATATACGTGGAGGTAGTTACCTTGTGGCTAGGCATGCGTTTGCTGTAATATTCGAGCGGACACAGGCCATCGCCATCATCTTGTTGCAGCACTGCACCAATCCCATACTGGCTTGCGTCCGTAGTGACTACGAACGTGAGGTTGGGATCCGCAATGCGGAGCACAGGATGACTTACCAATGCCTCTTTCAAGGCTTGGAACGCAGTCTCACATTTCTCACACCACGCATAGGCAACATTCTTACTTGTTAGTCTAGAGAGTGGGCGACCAATGACATAAAATTTGGGCACAAACTTCCGATAATACGAGGCCAAACCAAGAAAAGAACGCAGTTCGCGTGCGTTCGCTGGCTGAGGCCACTTTCGGATGACCTCAACCTTGGTTGCCTCCGGCTCAAGGTCGTTTGCAGACAACCGGTGCCCAAGATAGATGACGCTGTCCCTTCCAAACTCGGATTTCTCTAAGTTGAGGTGCAGCTGTGCCTCCTTGAGGACCTGCAAAACCTCCTCAAGGTGCTTGACGTGCTCTTCCATGGACTTGCTGAAAATCAAGATGTCATCGAGGTAAATGACAACAAACCTGTTAAGCTGATGGCGGAGAACCTTGTCCATGAGGCACTGAAATGTGGCTGGTGCATTCGTAAGACCGAAGGGCATAACGATGAATTCGTACAACCCATCGCGTGTCTTGAATTCAGTTTTGTGCTGGTCGCTGGGATCAACTTCAATCTGGTGGTAGCCAGATTTGAGGCCGATCTTGGAGAAGACTTTGCATCCACCTGCCGCATCGAGCAGATCATCTATGCGAGGCAAAGGATAAACATTCTTTCTGGTGATCCGATTTAGGCCACGATAGTCAATACACATTCGGAGTTTGCCTCCTTTCTTCGGCACAAACAAGACAGGTGCACCGAACTCAGACTCACTAGGCCTAATCCATCCACGATCGATCATATCATCAATTTGTCTCCTCAACTCCTCCAACTCGCCTTGTCCCATACGGTAGACACGTCCCTTTGGAGGAACACTCCCTTCTATTATCTCGATCTTGTGTTTGACCGGACACTCGGGAACTCCACGAGGTTCAACCAGAACTTCAGGGAATCGATCTAATAGACGGCGAATGTTGGTTGGGACTTCCGGTGGAGGATCATCAACATCAGGAGAGAGTAAATCAGATCGAGAATTTACAGCAATTACAACTGGATTTGAAGTACTTGGAGCAGAAGTAGACTGCTTTTTTACAATAGAAGTAGATGGAACAGAAGTAGACGTAGTAGAAGTAGAATTACTTTTCGAGTCAGAAAATGCAGCAAAAGTAGAAGGCACATGGAGAGGCTTTACAAGAGCTACATGTACATGGTCAGCTTCCTTGCGCCTGCGCACTGATTTGCAGAATTTGTTTGCGCACAGGGGACTAGCGCGTCTCGTCCAATAGAACGGTACGCTCGTTCCCCTTGGCATCACGCACCACAAACTGATTATCCGCCCACGTGGTCCTTAGACAATGAGCCTTTAACCAGCCCAAGCCAATGACCGCGTCGAAAGGACACTTATCCATGGCATCGAAGTTCACCTCATGTGTGACAGTGCGATCCTTGTCAAAAGTGACGCGCACACCTTTGACAACATGTGTTGAGGTGACAACCTCTTGGTTGCCTACCTGGGTCTGACAAGGGTTCTGCAATTCCACTTGCTTCATTCCCAGGCCCGCCTTACGAATCCCGTTAGGAGAAAAGAAGTTAGTCGTTGAGCCACTATCAATCAACACACAGATGTATCTGCGGTTAATGAGTAGCTTAAAGAAGGTCAGCTCCACACTCCTTTGAACACGGCATCGCTGCTTGAGCTGCAGCCAATGTTCCAGGTGAGAGTGGAAGTCAACTTCCTTAGTCTCTTCCCAAGGCTCAGTGTAAAGTACTTGGACTGCACCAGCCTTCAATTCAACATCAGTTCGGGCTTCAAGAGCAAGTTGTTGATCAGATTCAGGCTCCTTGGAGGGGCCTGCAGCTGACTGTTCAGTTTCCCTTGTTGTAGAGAGGGCTGATGACTCTTCTACGCCCTTTGCCTGTTTCCCTGCAGACGATAACAGTCCTGCACAGCATGCTCAGGCTTTTAAATGCAAGCATACGCACAGTTTGGATCTTCTTTCCCATTCCTTTTGGCTGATGCGGAGGGCTTCCCAAGGCTTGGTAGAGGCATCCTCCGGTTTCTCAGGGATCTTTGCATTCTTGGGGAGGTGTGTTATAGTTCCCTTACCCAAACTACGATTAGGCCCCTTGCTTGAAGCAGTCTTTTTAAAAGCATTACATTTTTCTTCAGTATTCACGTTAGACTCAAGGGCTGATGCAGAATAGCCCACGGCGGAGTCCGGCTCTAGATCGTCATCCAGAGACAGATCATCCGCATAGGACTGATCCTCAGCCTCCCGATGTTCATGCAGGGCAAGCTGGTTGCCGCTTCCGTACCGCTTGCGTTGCGAGGTTCTACCTGCAGCGGGTGCCTTTACATGCCTGGTGAGTTCCTTGGCTTCTAGGTTGACTAGATCCGTCAGTAGCTCTCGCCAAGTGGTATGGTCTTTGAGTCCTAGCTGGGAGACATATTCTTTAGGGGCCACTCCCATGACTACATCCATGCAAGACACATCAGTCAATCCCAGGTTTGGAGTGGTGAACAGACCAGTCAAGTGCTGCTCCAAAGCCTGCATGAAAGTCCTCCACGTTTGGCCCTTGAGGCCCTCAAGCTTCAGTCTTGCCTTGAGCGCAGCGTGCTTATCTTGATATTGTGTGATGAGGAGGTCCTCAAGAGTATGTACAAGAGTCACTTTCAGCCACTCGGTCACGTCAATCCTCTCATAACCTGATGTAACAGCTTGGAGTTCTATGAAAGTCCGTACGACGGGCTCAGTATTAGTGCCCATGATCATGCTTCGGTCTTCTTGCGGTGTTCGCAGTACCTCGAAGCATGAGCGCATGGAGCTAATCCAAGAGGTGATATCCCCTTTCCCGTCGTATTTGGACGGAAGAGTGGCTGCCCGCTTGTCCACTACGGGACCACTGTACTGTACGCCAGTAAGAACTGTGGCGTTTTGGGCTGATGTTCCTGCATTTGGGACTATGACCAGTGCAGAACTGCCGGCGCTGCCGCTTGAGGAGCTGGCACCGGTTCCTGCGCTCGTCACAGTTCCACTTGCTCTCATCACGAGGACTGTGTTAGGGTGAGAGACTGGGACTGCAGCAGGTCGAGGGTTAGGAGGACGGGGGGTAGACAGTTGGGATTGTTTGAGGCTGACTATCTCAGCCTGCAGCTCTTGGTTCCACTGCTCCAGGGCTGTCACACGGAACTCAAGTTCTTCTAAGGTCCGCAGTTGAACCAAGACTGCTATGGCAGCAGCTAGCTTCTCTTGGAATCGGTCATCATTTGATTCCGGAACCGCAAGGAGGGCCACCTGTTCAGCAATGCTTGTGGCTCTGGCTGCTGCCTCTGCCTCCCTTTCTCTGTGTATAGCGTCCTCATACAGTTTTTGAAAGAAAGGCCTCTCGTTATCGGCCACTACGTCCAGCATGGCCTTCCATTGCTCGGACGTGATGTCTGCCATTCCGGAGGATAGGGTGTCAGTAGCTCTCTCTAGAGGGGTCCACACTTTGCTCACTTTCAGCCGAACACTCCTCTTTCCCTTCCTCACACTCTCAAAAAGAACACCTTCTCTCTCCCTTCTCTCTCTTTTCGCTTTCTGCGCACGCGTCTCAATACCCGACATAGATAGTTTAGATAAAAGAAACAAACAGTGAATCACAAAGAGTAGAAGGTAGAACTCCTAGCCGGAGCGGCGATTCATTTGGACTTAGAGAATGACATTCACACAACAGAATAAAGAATAATAAAAAAAATGAAACGAAAGAGAGGACTGACTTATTGAACGGGCCTGATCAGATTAGCTGGAGATCCCCTCTTGTCTAACCTGACAAGGTACATGTACCGCAATAAATCAGCCGAACAAAACTAACTGCAGCAATGGAGATTTCGCGGGGTGCAGACGGTCGCCGAGCCAGACGCGGGGCAGTATGTGAGAACATGCTGTAAGACCAGTCAAGATCCCCTTGAAAGGAATGCCCTTGCTAGTCGTATGTCGCCTAAGTTCAGCACAGCAAAGAGATGCATTGACGACAACAGATTTGGGCCCTGAAGGTCCTGTCCCGATGGGCCTGGTCCCACCGAGTCCCGAAGGTCCCAAGTAGGTCGTCGACCAGGACCAACGAGATAGGTGTACCAAGTCAGTCCCAAACTGCCTCTACCGTACTGAAAAGGAAAAGACAACTTTCAGCAAGAACTCACTCCTACAGCCGTTCAGAAATGAAAAGACATTGCACCGTAGAAAGATATGTCATTTAGAACAGATACATCATCCATCCATTCATCAGGTGAGAAAGCAATCCACATGCTCACACACACAACCAAGACCGCAGAGAAGAGGAAGAGAGCCCAGCACACCCCAACAGGCCATGAAGCACCAAGCAACCTCCCMYGGGCATAACCAGGTCACACGRCACTTACCTGTGAGGCCCGGCCTCCAAAGATGGATAACGACTCACCCCCCTCTCTCATARGTCCTCCTGACCCCTAGCTACCACTACACGAAGTGTCCTAGCATGACTAAGAGGGCCTTCCTACACCCCTGTTACAACGCCGGATCCCCCGCCGATGTCTGAAGACCAAAGTAGCAACTTGCAGTTCTTCGATGCAGGTATGGCAGCCTCCGATCAAGTCTCCCTCTTGAGGGGAAGCCCAAAAGTCACTCACTGTCTTCTTGAAGTGCAGATTCCAGGTGCGAGTACCTCTCACTCTCTACTCCCTCTCGCTTACTCCAATCAGCCTCCTTTGTGTCTCGCCACCCCATCCAATCACTCAAGCAACCTGGTCAGGTCTGATGTCGACCCTACATGACCTAACCAGGTGGGTGCAGTATCCACATACCTCACTGCCCCTCTTAACCCCAACTTCCCAACCCTAATCCGAGATTAGGTTAGCCCTGACCTAATCCGGAATTAGGTTTAGGGTGACTAACACCTCTCACAAGCAAGTAAGTCCGCTCCGATACCAATTGTTACGATCCTGGTCATTCCCAGAGTGCAAATTCACAATGAAAGACAATGCCACCCAATTGCGAAAGAAATGAAAGCACTTGCAAAGAGATAGAGACCAGAGGAGAGAGGAAGAAGAAGAAGAAAAAGAAGAAGAAGAAGATGTACACCAGCAAGACCAATGACGATTCCCCCTTCTCTCTCCACCTTCCTCCTCCTCCTTCACTTCGCCAATCTTATTCTTCTCCCAATAATAATAATAACAATGAGTGGATGAACCAGAATCAATATCCGAAGTTCCTCTTACTGCTGACTCAGCAACAACAACAACAACAAGTCCACCATAGCTATGGATTCCCTCCTTCTCTCTGCTCTCACATGCCTAGGCTATGGCGGACTACTGAGGGCCCTGCCCTTCTGTCCAAAGGACAACCCAAAGCAGCTATGGCGCTGCACTCCTGTCCAAAGGGCAACCCAAAGCAGCTATGCCGCTGCTGACTGATCCGCCATGCCAGACTCTGCCTCGAGCTTCCTTGGCGCGACACTACCCCAACTGGGGCCTTCCAGATGCAGTGCCCAACAAGGTGATGAAGATGGTGTCTACCATAGCCAGGTAGGTGCCCCGCCACTCTCCTCCTTCGCCCCCTTCTTCCTCCTCCTCAGGCTGGGCTGCTCGCCATAGCCAGGCTGAGCACGCAGGCTGCCCTTCACCTCCAGGTAGCGCTGTATCAGCCCAGCGCTCCGCTCAGCAACATGTCGCCAATCCTTGCATACCGCAAATGAGGAGGAGCTACTTGCTCCTCTGGAAGATATAGCGGCCTACTGGCCTCTTGGGCGGTGACTTCCTAGGCCGAGCGGCCCCCCAGCAACCGGTACCTCCTCCCTTTCGGAGGGAAACATCATTGCAGGCTCTGCTATCCTCCGGACAGGCCCTAGACCCGGGCTACTTGGACTGGTACCGGCCTACCTCTAGCCTACCGCTACTGGGCCTCTAAAAATGCCAATGTTTTGTCTTCTTCTGCTCGGCCTCCAGTACCCGACGCTTCTACCACTATTTGAGTGGTACCGGCCTACCTGCTACTTGAGTGTTTTTCCCCTCTGCTCTAAGTGTCGCGGGCCTACCCCCGCT